CTATCGATGCAAATGTGTTCTTGTTTCAACCTCAGCGGCCGAGCAAAACGTTGAACGTTTAATGTAGAAACAGATAACGTTGAATTAACGATATCAACGACGATTCAACTTCGTTTTCACAAATGCTCAATAATTAACTTCGTTATTACTAATAAAAACCAATGTTAAAATAAACCTGATAAAAACCCAAATATATGAAACTTAAAACACCAAAATATATAGAAACGAGTATTCGAAAATATTAAATCGTAAAAAATAAGTAGCGAAACTTCGCTAATACTTACTTTTTCACTGTAAGCAAAGGCGACTACGTCCTTAACTTTGATTCCATTACTTAGCAATAACTTAAGTTGGCGAGAGAATGACTTAACATACTAAAACTTAAGTCTCTCGGGGATCGTCTCGCTCTTAAAATGATATAAGTTATTCAGATATTGTCTGGCAAGTTTAGTGATGTCTTTATTGTTTTGTTTTTTTATGTAACTTGAGTTATAGTTAGCTGCTTGTGGTTGTGTGTTTGTGTATGTGTGTGTGTGTTGGTGATTGTATTCTTATGGGTGTTTGTGATTGTGTGTTTTTTGTTGTGTTTGGGATTTTGTTTGTGATTGTGGTTGTGTTTGTGGTAGTGTTTGTGGTTATGTTTGGGATTGTGGTTGTGTTTGTGGTAGTGTTTGTGGTTTTGTTTGTGATTGTGGTAGTGTTTGTGATTGTGGTTGTGTTTGTGTTTGTGGTTGTGTTTGTGGTAGTGTTTGTGGTTGTGGTTGTGATTGTGTTTGCTATTGGGTGTTTGTGCTGGCAGTACTATTTTTCTGGTTGTGGTAGTTCTATTGGTGGTTTGGTGGTGTTGTGCTCCTTGATAGACGGTAAGTGTGAAATATAAAAGTATTGGAGCTCACTTACCTTGTTAGACACGTGTCTATTGACCTGCTGCGACCTTCCTCACCTTCTGGGGTAGTTCTGATGACAGCCAAACCTGTTTTTATGATTTATATTAGTATTCCTATTATTATTATCATTATTAATGCCAATAATGGTATATTCCTTGTCCGTCTACAGGTACAAGAAGGCACTGAGGTCTTCGAGGGCCACATCAAGGCTGGCACCATCTCGCCCCCCACCACCACTAGCAGCAGCCCTTTGGCACCCTCTTCCCACACCCCCATCACGCCTGTCCCAGAGGGCGGCGCCCCCACCTCTACCCCAGTCAGCACCACCACGCCCACACCCACGCCCATCGGCCTGCCCATAGCCAGGATCACCCTCACACGCCCGCGAGCCTCCGCTGCCCATTCCGGCCTCTACACCTGCACCAATACCTGCACAACACCTGTTAATCTCACGCTTCACGTGTTAATAGGTAAGAGAGGAAATGCGGAATTGGATCATTCTTTAGCTCTATTTCTCTGTCCGTCTGTTTGTGTGTCTGTCTCTTGTGTCTCCCTCTCGTTACTTCCCTTTTCCCTGTCTTTACCTCTGTCTTCATCTCTTTACTTCCCTCTTCTTCTCTTCGGCGCTGTCTCCCCCCCCCCTCTTCACGACCCTCTGTTTCCTCTTTTATGCCGGAGGTTCCCCTCTTTCAGAGATAATGCGTGTACCTTCACACAATATAAATAATAAAGGTTCCCTGTATTTTTATCTAAATAAAACGATATTATTGTAGAGAATAAAGCACAATTACGAAGCTGGAATCATTATTATTATTATTAATTATTGTTAATTATTATTAGTAGTAGTAGGATTAATTATTATTATTAAATATTAATTATTATTGTTAATATTACTAATTATTATTATCCTTGTTACGTCAGGAGACGAAGAGACGGCCGCTATGCAGCACTTGAGCGGGGCGTTGAGGCTCCTCCCGGCGGTCGGTGGTGCCAGCGCTCTTCTCTTTCCCCTTATGTTATCGTTTTGTCATCTGGTGTCTTGAGTTGGCTGACTGGCTGGCTGGCTGGCTGGCTATAGGGCTGGCTGGCTGGATGGCTGACTGACCGATTGACCGATTGACTGACTAACAAGCAGCTGAAATAATGTGCTAGGAGACTGACAGAAAACTTGACCCCACTCCGAGATGAGAAGTGCGTTCTGGCTACTAGGTACGATATATATATATATATATATATATATACATCCCAGACGCATTAAAGACAAATGTTATACTAGAATAATAGGCGCAAAGAACAGTATGATTGAACTAGAAGAACACGAAGGCTGTTCAAGAAGAACACCATAATAGATTTAAAAGACGAAGAATGGCTATAACATCGAGACAACATGAAGAACATGACCACTAAAGAACATGTTAGGGCAGAACAAGGGGTAGAATTAAACAAATAAAAGTGAAGGTCAGAGAAGTGAACACCAGCGTATGAACGTAGAACACCTCAAGGTAGAACATTGGTACCTCAAGGTAGAACACAGCTCCTTCAACACCTGTAGGATAACATGATAACTGGCAGCTGTCCCAACACCTGTAGAGAATACATGGTAAATCCCAGTTGCTTCAACTCCCCCTCCCCCCCCCCATAATAACACATCCAACACCTGCCTTTTTTTATTCCAACACCTGTCAGAGTCCCTTGCCACTTATCAGCACTTGTTAATCTTATCATCTAAAACCCGTAAAAATATCATTTTTGGGGATGTTTCCAGTGCACTTTTGCTTTGGACTGAGCTTGGGGACACTTCCTCTACTTGTCTTAAGTGTTGCAACGCAGGTCGACTCTTGCTAATTGGTTGAATCTTAGTGGCACTTAAGTGACGTGCCAACTTTGTTGAGGTTTTCATTACCTTGAAAATCCGTCTCGCAACACCTGACTTGACTTTGTTGCAACCCAACACCTGACTTGGGCTCTGTCACAAGCTTCAGCCTAACACCTGACCTGACTGGAACACATGTTCCAGCCCAACACCTGACATGACCAAGACAAATATTTCAGCCCATGTGTTTACACAAAAAAATTTATAACTGTAATGTTTTGTACATCAGCTAATCTAGGACTGTGGCACTTGAAGAAGCTTTGAGTGTTTTCATTTAGATTTGTTTTTGTCCAAATGTAAGTTTTACCAAGCATAGGTTAAGATGATTATGTGTTTGTCGAATCACTGTGAACAGTGGCCCTTTGTTGGCCGCTGGGGCACCTGTTAGATCTGATCCTGTTGTTTGTGTAGGTCAAATTGCATGGTTAGAGTGCAGACTGAGATTAAAATGAATGAATCATCAACTATCCAGCTGGAGAGGATCGTGAATGGGGGGGTTGGGAGGGATTAGACATACCAGAAAGATTGGGCTAAGGTCCTGTTAACCACAGGAAGGTTATACAAAGTCCACCACAATAGCTCGTTAACCAAGTATATTTTGGTCGTGGATAAAGCCCAGGAGTAAAGTGTGTTCAGTAAATATACACTGAAATGAAGGATATACATCTCAGTGAATACATTCATTACCCGTTCTCCATTTCCCATCCCTCAAACCCAAACATATGTTTTACCCAACTGGGACCACGATTCATCCACTATTTACGCACACAACAACGAAGACTGTACACCTTTCTTCAATCCACGTGGCTTTGTTTACATTTGTGGCTTTGTTTACATTTGTGGCTTTGTTTACATTCGTGGCTTTGTTTACAGTTCATTCAACTGTTTACGAGACTTCGAAACTTCACAATCGAAGATTACCATTCTTATAAACAACCTCCTGGTGTTTGAGAGCTCATAAACTATTTAATTGACTGAAGAAAGACGTACAAGTTTCGTCAGTGGTTGTGAATTCTGGCCCAGAAACGGACGAACCATCGCTACCTGCCTAAGCTATTGATGCACTGAAAGCGTCAATGTTATCCTGCTTTGATTTATAGTAACGCGATGCATTGTTGATGGATTGACCGTCTACGGTGAAATTGCAACTTAAGAGAAAGGGTTGAGAGAGGAGAAGGGGAGAAGGGGTGAGTAAGGGAGAAAGGGGAAGGAAAAATAGTCGACATTTTAATATAAAATGTATCTTTTTTCACCATACGCACATGCGTAAATGTGAGCACAAATACAAACATCTCTGTACCTTACGTGATGTATGCGATTGATGTGTATACAGACGTATTTACACATATATATACAGATGTTTATACATAATTGTATATATTTTCATGTGCACAGCTGAAATGCACACTTACACACACACACACACACACACACACACACACACACACACACACACACACACACACACACACACACACACACACACACACACACACACACACACACACACACACACACACACACACACACACACAAGCCAGGAATTTCTCAACATTTGCGTTTCTGTATTTAAAGACAGTTTCAGAGCAACAACGGCCTGATACTAACGATCCAATCATTAACAAATACATTGATTCAAAACCAACATCAGATGACTTCGTTTCATGGCCCCAGTGCCAATTAGTATAGATTATACAATACTGATTTTATGTATGATACATTTTGTTAGTAAAACTTATTAAAGTATATTTTGTATGATTCACCTCACTATTGTGTCTACACGTGAGTACACTGTTGTGTACTCACTTAAATCTACTCACTTTAAGTGAGTAGAGCTTCAACTCTACTTGCAAGATCTAGCTATTGGCTCCACTGCAATGTTGGTATCGGTGTTATTTTCAATCAGATGGAAACTGCAAATCAATAATGTCTGGCTCCTGTTATAGTTGGTTTACAGCTTTCCTTATCGTTCATGGTAAGCTTTACCTACTATAGTATTCCTTGGATACGACCCAATAATCTGTTTATAACCAGGCCTCAAAATTACTGCTGGGTGAAAAGGGGCGCACAGTTAAGGATTGGCCAGGGCTCGAATCCAAACGAAATCGCTGCCATTACACCGCCAGAGACTGTGTCTACTGCTCCTCAAGTGCATTTATTTTGGCTGCTATCTTTGTGCCAAAGAAGACAAGGTAAGGTAATTATTAGAAGAATTAAGCCAATTACATTTCACCGTATTCACCAACTTGAAAATCGTAACTTTAAAAAAGTAAAATAAAACAAAAATAAAATAAAAATGGTTGGCAGACAAAAGAACATCGAAACTGCATCGAAGGAACATAAAAATCCTCTCTAAAACACAGAATGCTGAGCGGGTTCTCAGTCAGCCAAGGCCTTGCTCTGAGGAAGATAGAGTACCCGTTACCCCCATACCCAATCATGCTCTGAGGATGTACCCATACCCAATCATGCTCTGAGGATGTACCCATACCCAATCATGCTCTGAGGATGTACCCATACCCAATCATGCTCTGAGGATGTACCCATACCCAATCATGCTCTGAGGATGTACCCATACCCAACCTTGCTCTGAGGATGTACCCATACCCAATCATGCTCTGAGGATGTACCCATACCCAACCTTGCTCTGAGGATGTACCCATACCCAACCTTGCTCTGAGGATGTACCCATACCCAATCATGCTCTGAGGATGTGCCCATACCCAACTTTGCTCTGAGGCAGTGCCCATAGTCAGTGTTGCCCTGAAGAAGGCCTAGACTGACCGAAAACGCGTTCAGCATTTCTATAAACAGCATTTTTGCTTCCCTATGCCAATCTCTCTCATTAAATACACATTAGTTCATGGGATAATATTCCATGTGTACAAAGTCTGCAAATATAAACAATTCTCCACAGTTTTTCTCTTGTTAGAGGACTTTGACCCAGAACCTCAGGTATGGATCATCCTGCAATTACCTCCCACAGTAGTTACCAGTTAACATGAACCACCCTGCCTACCTCCCCCAGGGAGGGTTGGGGGTTACCTTGTGAGGCAACTTGAAGTCTTGAGAGCTGCTTAAGCAGTTGGTAAGGTTTTGTGGATCTGGTTCGAGCTCGAGCATTTCAGAAAGAACACAACATGAGGTTTGGAGATCAGAGGGTGTAGAGGTTCTCTGTGATCTATACAGGTTGAAGTAGAATTATTACTGACCCACACACTGAAAGCTAATTAGTACCCAAATAATGACATTTTATATAATGTATATCCTTAGGGATTTTGGTAATGTAATAAATGCGTAATAGTTAAATATTATAACTTCCTCAAAGTCCTGTAAAATACTTTGCTTGGAAAAGCTTTTGATTCAAAGAACTAATGTATGAAATTTATTGCAACATCAAGTAATGTATAATTAGAACAAGGATTGACATCTCTATTTAATAAATAGAAAATATTCAAGGATTTTTTTCAAAATTCAGTTTGCTTAATGAGGGAATATTTCTCATTTTTTTTTTTTTGGTGAAACTTGAAGACCAGTGAAACAGTTTTTTTAGCATTTTTGAATGTCAAACGGGAGATATAATTTATGGTTTTCACTTATCAGCTGGTTCCATGACAAGTTTGTTGTATGGGCTTCCCATGATCCACAAACCTGGGTTTTCCAATTAAAAAATTAATGTATTTTAGTTTAATAATAAATGCATGCATACAAGCGTGCATATTTACACACACACACACACACACACACACACACACACACACGAAATATGATATGCAGATATGATAGAGCCCAGTAGGCTTATGAATCTGTACACCAGTTAATTGACAGTTGAGAGGTGGGACCAAAGAGCCAGAGCTCAACCCCCGCAAGCACAACTAGGTGAACACACTAAAAAAGTGCCAAAAAAGTAAACATCAGAGATAACAAAAACCTATTTGGATTATAGGAGCAGACTATGGTAGCTAAGAACTTTATAAAAAGAGAGAAAACCCCAGAGAAGATATGATCACAACGTTCAAGATACTGGCGATAAAAGGCAGAGTAAATAGAGACACCCTTTACACACTGAGGAGAGCAGTACGAGGGGACACTGACGTTAGTTGAAATACGGATAAGCTAGAGAAATGTTAAGAAATACTCGAATGCAGTGAGAGTCGTAAGCAGGACAAA